TGTCTCACCGCAGCTGACAGGACCCCAGGGGAAGTGGCCCTGCCTCTGGCTGCAAAGCCAGGCGAGCTCTCGCCAGGGCCGAGGGCAGCCCCAGATCACGGGGGAGACATTGTGAGGGCATAAAACTGTCACTGTTGGAAAAATAAATGTACCACTGACCTCGGAAGGATTTATGAAGAGTCCGGCCTCGGGGAGTTTCTGCTTCTGGGCCAGGAGGCGGCTCTCGGCGATACTGCCCCCTGCTGGTGGTCTGCGATCCGCCGGCCCTGACTGCACTTGGTCACTTGGTCTCCGCCACCAGCCTCCCTCTGCTGTCTCTGGGGTCACAGCATGGCCTGCACCTTGGCTGTGACCTGGGCAGCGCTCAGCTCCTTGGCGTGAATGAGAATCCCGCTGCGCCTGCTTATTCATGGAGCTGAACGGAGGCCCCACGGCCAACCACCCAAAGCAGGTGTGACAGATTGGGGTGTCACTCCCGCTTGCTGTAGGGGTGGGGGTTCCACCAAGATGGAGCTCCATTCTTTCCTGAAAAATAAAACGAGTAATTGGGGCATATTTTTTCAACTTGGCTGTTGCGTTTTCTAAAGTACACCTGAGCCTCACGTTCTCTCGGGGTTCCTGGGCCCCTGGCAGTGGTTGGCCCCCAAGCCTTGATCTACCCTTCAGTGGCTGCTGGCTCAGTCCATCCCCACCACCTCAGCCTTGGTCAAGGCTTGGTCAAGGAGGCGCCTGCCTCCGCCCTCGGGGCCTCTCCCCATGGCCCATTCTCACCACTCACCTGCCTTGGCCGCCTCTCCAGGCACATGGTGGCCTGGTTCTCCTCTCGGATAAAGCCGCGGCTCAAACTCTTCATTTTGGGGCACAGGCTTCCAGCGGCTTCTGACAGGAGCCTCTCTCCTTTTCTGCCTGGCTATTGCCCAGCCTCGCTTGCATTTAGCCAGGGCAGTGCCACCAGATTCTGGGCATGAACTAAAACACAAGCTGCGACCTCTTCCTTTCGGCTGGGACAAAGACGCTTTGGCAGGAGCTGGGCAGCCATCTTGGGCCAGGGACTGGAAGCCAAGGGCTGGAGACTTCTGGTCTTAACCCTAATCCACCCTCACGGTCACCCTCACCCCCACCGTCACCCTCACCCTTACTGTCACCCTAGGAAGCCGGGGAAAATGGGGGAGAGAGTCGTGGCTGTCCCTCCCCGCCAGCTTTCCTCAGCCAAGGCTGTGGCCTGCTCAGCAGTCTGCTCAGTCGCAGCCAGACCCCTCCAGTCGGCAGTTGACTGCCCCCTGTGGCTGCTGCTGGTACTGCACCTCCCGCTGGGCTCTCCCCTGGCTACTCATCCTTGAGGGGGTCCTGGGCTTCCTGTACCCATCCTGTAAGTCTCACTTCTAGGACGCGCCTGGGCTCCCTCTGCCCCCGAGGCTTCCCTGGACCCCCTCCGCTGCAGGCCTGGCACCCCACTCCTGCTTATTTCCCACTCCCTCGGGGCTGCCTCCGGCCCCCCTGGGTCGGATCCTTGCTCTCCTGTCCCTGCTGCTCAGGCCAGCAGATTGTGGGTGGGTGCTCGGTTGGGAGCCTCTGATGGTGTGGGAATGCTCACCGGCCACAGGAAAGGCCAATAAAGGCAGTGCTGCCCAGGTCTGAGTTCCTCAGGCTCAGGGTTAGGTTGGTGTCAGTGAATCTGAGCCCCTGGGAGGGGCCTCTGGGCAGGGGTCAAGGCCCGGCAGGGTGGGCTCCGGCCAGACCCACACCAGGCCCCATCGGCAGGGCCCAGCGCAGGCTGACCACGTGCGGCTGTGCCAGAGCACCTGAGAGGCTGAAGCCACCAGCCAATCACCAAATCCACGCTGGTCCTTCTAAGTGGCTGCACGCTGTGGGGTCAACCCTGTCCACGACCCAAGGCCCAACTCAACGCCTGGCCATTTCTCACTGGACAGGTATTTCCCGGGGCCCCTTTGACACCAGTCAGAGATCTAAAAGCAGGACACCCTGCCCTGCCGCTCAGTTCTAGGGGGACAGAGCTACCAGTAGACAAGTGGGTGCAGGTCCTGGCCGAGGACAATCCATGTACTGGAGAAGGGGAGGCGTCCCGGTGGGGCCGTGGTTGGTGAGCAAGGGCAGGAGCAGGGAGGCCTCACCAAGAAGGAGGCTGGAGAGGCGGCAGGCGTGTCCCGGGCTGATGGACACAGCAGGGCAGGCCTGGGGGCCACGGGCCGGGGCCTGTCGGCTGCGTAAGTTCTGTGGTCTGGTTGGAGTGCGGTGGGAGCCATGGGAGAAAGTGCGCAGTGAAGGCCCCATTGAACAGCCCCTCTGGCCACTGTGTGGAAAGAGTGGAGGGGTGCGGGGGGGGAGGGCTGGGGATCAGAGCCCCACGTGACAGACAGAGCAGACGACACGTTCCGAAAACATCTGGTTTATTAGGATTAGCGGTGGTGTACACTGGTTCCTCTAACAGCTCTAATGCGTGTCCCCACTGCAGTATACACGTAGGGATGAGGCTGGGCTGCACTGACAAGGGCAAACCGGTCAGTCACTGGGAAGTCGCTGTCCTCCTAGAGGTCTGTCAGCAGCGGACGAGAGACAATGGCCCGTGGGTCCTGCAGTCGTGACCAGTCGGGCCAGGCGGGGTCTCGTGGTGTCCTTCATGCGCTCACCGTGAGCCCCCACATGCTGATGGGGAGGCTGGGGACACTGAAGGACAGGAGGGAGGTGACCCGTGTCCCCTACCCCATCCCTGCGAAGGCCCGCGAGGGTGGGATCCCCACTGGCTGCAGGCAGATCTCTCCCTAGAAGATTTTCAAGCGTGGGCCTGTTTCTCTGCGGGCCCGGCCCCCGCTCCCAGGAAGCTGCTGTGTGAGGTCAGAACTTGGGCCCCGCGTGTCTGAGTCAGATGAGCAGGCCCTCGGGCCGGTCTGGGTCAGCTGCCTCTCAGGACCCCGTCCCTGCCCTCCCTCGCCTTGGGGGGCGACTCGGCCCCTAAATCCGGCTCCGCCACCCGGCTGTGAGGGCAGGACCTCCAGGCTCGGGAGGCTGGCACGAGCCGTCACCACTGAGACTGAACTCAACTCCAGACTCGCGCGGCCCGGCCGGCCCACCTGAGGCTCACCTGAGGCTCAGGTGCGCCGAAGGGCCGGATCCCTGTCCTCTCTGTGCAGTAGGAGACAGTCCGGTTTCCACGAACATTTTATCTTTTCAATGCGGGTGATTCGTTAACTGGATATGGAGACGTGATGGAATGACCTGCGTGAGTGCGCTCGTGTAAATAAACTCATGCATCGGAGAGGTTCCCAGCCAGACCCGTGCCAGCGTGCAGGCTGGGAGAGGGCGCGGCCCTCCTGGGACGGGGGCGAGCAGCGGGCTGGAGGGCGCGGGCTCTGGCCCCCCTCAAGCTCCGGATCTGGGGCTCTATGGGAGGAGCTGAGCGGCTGGGGGCCCCCTTCTCCGGCAGCACGCAATCTACCTTTTCTCCTCCATAAAGAAGCCAGAAAAGTAAGAGGAGCAAAGGAAGCTGCTCTCTGTGGCCCCTGGCCCGCCCCGGAGGGTGGGTGCCCGGCTGCCTGCCCCCCAGGGCTGGGTGGGAGAACATGTTTCGCCCCCAGGCAAGTGTGACCTTGGGGGGGGGGTTGCCTCCACCACACGTGAGCAGGGTTTCTGGAAGGACGCCCCCCTCTGGGGACCAGAATGTATCTGAGAAGAACAGGGTGTGGGTGCAGGGCAGTGGATCTCACTGCCGGAGGAAGTGGGGTGGGAGCCCTACTCCCAGCCTCCCTGTCAGAGGGCTCAAGCGGGGAGCCACCACCTAAAGTGTGGAGCCACAGAGCCCCTGGACTTGCACTGTGAGGCCAGCTGGTGTTCCCAGCAGCCCTGCCCCACCCAGGGTCATGGTGGCACTCGGGAGCCCGTGAGGTAACAGTGGGTCCCCCGGAAAGTGAAGTTTTTCACTGTGGGCAGCCGTCCCCGTTTATTGCTGGCACCAAGTGAGGGTCAAGGGAAGGTAAGGGGTGGGGGTGGCACCTGAGGAAGGCAGGTCAGGCGCTGCTGGGGCTCGGGCTGGGAAAGGTTGGCTCCCCCCATCGGCCGCTCCCGTCCCGGCCAGGACCCTGCACAGGGCTGCGGTGTTGGGACCCTCTTCGGCCACCAGAGGTAGCTATACTGCCAGCCCGAGGCTTCTGGGCACTGGCGCCCAGGTCTCTGGCCAGTGGCCCCTCCTGTGCCAAGGCACGGGACTTCCATGCCTTTAGGCCTCCCTCGGCCCCACCCCCCAACCCCCATCAAAATAATCTCTGCTTTAGAATATACATTATATATTAGATATTTCATCTGCAATACAGTTGTCCTCCTGTGGTGTCAGGTAAAGTCCGTCACGGGAGGAAACGCAGCCCTGACCATACACAGTGCCCGGCGGCGGCCTGGCGCCCAGCAGGCAGGAGCAGCTTCTCGCCTGGTCTCTTTCTGGACCAAGAGGCCGCCCATGCCAACACCAGCTCTGGGCGGACAAGGCTGACGTGGGTCAGGGCGATGCCCCTGTGAGGAAGTACTGGACGTTTTCTGGGCCTTGGAGGGCACTGGGTCTGCTTGGGGGAGCCGACGCTGGCCACCTCATCCCACAGCCAGTAAAAGGCCACTGAGCACGGCTGGTGGGAGCGGGGGCAGGGCTCGGGGTGGAGGAGTGGGCAGAGGGGGAGACTCCTCCAGTTATTGCAGTCAGGGGTCCCGGGAACACCAGGAGTCCTGGGCCCCTTTGTGGGAGCCGGGAGAGGGGGGGCAGAGGCTGTGCGTGCTTGACGGGCATGGCAGCCCGCTCCCTCCTGGACAACTGCCCGGAGCCTTTCTGTTTTTGCATAAAGGGTCTACCTCTAGCTAAGGTAGATCCCATGGCGGACAGCCTAACATATGACAAAGTCAGGTTTTTTCTCTCGCTGCTTTTTTTTTTTTTTTTGTAAATTGCACTAGGGATCCTCCAATTTATAGTTTTATGGTTTTGTGTGTATGTGCATTTTTTTTTTCAAACCACATCTGCAAAGCCAGCTTCTGCCCTTCCTCTGCCCGCTTCCCTGACTGTGGGACGGCCGCCTGGCCAGTGCATTCAGGGCGGGGACCCCTTTCTCGCTGCTGCTGTCCTTTGAGAGAACCACAGGCTTATTTCTTGGAAGACAGAGTTGGTGACTTCAGGAAGTTCTTTGTGGAGAACATGGTAGGCACCTTCGTAAATCTGCAATTAGGAAAGGCAGGAAGTCAAGGCTACGGACAGAGCCCTTGAAGCCCAGGCCAGTGCCTCTGATCACGGCCTAGTTAAGGTGTCCAGCACCTCCCCCTGACCCCACTTCTCCGGCCCATTGGGCGGCCTGGTCCGACGCCATCTCCATGGACAGACGTCTCCACGGCCTCCCCTCTCCCGCAGACCTCGGCTCACCCCCATCTGCACCTGTTTCCCTTTCCAGCGGGCCACAGGGGACCTCTTGGCCTGACCTGGTCACCCTCACACCATCCTTCCCTGGGCACACGTTCTGTTTTAGACTTCTTGGCATCATTCAAAAGTCAATCTCAGTCAATCATCTGGAAACACGCTCCTCCTGCGTTTCCAGGGTGTTCTTCCTGCCTCTCAGTCGCAGCCGTGGCCTGACCCTGCAGGCTGGTGGCCAAGGATGTGGCCGTGGCCTTTGGCCTCCTGCTCCCTAGTCATCATGTTCACTTCCGGAGCTTGGTAAAGTCTGTGCTGGTGACCCAGCCTTGGCATCTCCATCTCCACTTCCTTCTCAACTCACGATGTGGGTATCCAACTACCTATTTGCCTTTCTAATCTCCAAATATCTTGGTTATTTTTTCCTAACTATGGTAAAAACAAACAAAAAACCATTAAATTACCATTTCTGAGTTCAGTAGTGTCAGCCTCTTCGCACTGTTACACAACAGCCCTCTAGAACTTTTCACCTTTTGAAACTGAAACTTTCCCCTATACAGTTCCCCCTTTCCTCCTTCTTCCCCAAGTCTAAGCTTCCCTTCTTATTTCTATGATTTTTGACTACTTCAGATACTTCATTTGAGTGAGATCATATACCATTTACTGTTCTCTGACTGGCTTATTTCATGTGACATCACGTCCCCAAGGTTCACCCATGTTATAGCCTGGGTCGGATTCCCCTTCCTTTTTATGACTGCGTAATATTCTGCCATATAGACCACATTCCATCTTCATCAGTCAGTGGTAGGAAGCTTCCATCTTTTAGCTCTTGGGGATGATGCTGCCACAGCACAGGTGTACAACCTTCTTTGCAGATTCTGCTTGCCATTTCTAGTGGGCTCACTAGCAGGTATCTGAAACAGAACTCTTGGTATTGCCCAAATCTTTTTCTCTCCCATTCTGCTCGTTAGCACCAGCTCAGAACCCAGAGCTCAACCTTCATTGCTCTGACTTCCCTACCTACATATAGTTCACATTCTCTTGGTCCTCCTCCTTCCATTCTTGGGTCTTCACACCGGTTCTTCCCTTGTTCCAGAATGTTCTTCCATTGCTCTTATCACTGTCAGACCTTAGGCTCATCGGAAGTCATTGCTTCCTCTGCTCCCCCACCCCAATTTCCTGTGTAGTCCCCCTTGGGACGCCTGCCCTCCCCATCATCATCTGTTGCATTATCTATTTGCCACTCACACCTCTGGGACTACTCCACTATGGAGGGTCGGGACTTTGCCTGTCTTGTTCTTTGGGCCTGACACGACACAAAGTAAGCACCCAGTGGCTACTAGGATTAAAGAAGGAACGAGTGAGTGGAGAGCGAATAAAGGAGCATGTTCTTCACGGACCCTTTCACGGCCTACAGGCTCCAGGCCAGCGTCAGGGGATGCTCATGTGATGCCATCACCCAAGCTACAAAGTGTCCCTCTGGGTCTTCATGCTCTCTCATGACAGTACCAGCCAGTCTTCCTTTTCTTCTTTTTCTTCCTCTACGGCTCTACCTGGGAGTCAGAGTGGACCAGGCGCTGCGATTCACAGTGGTGTGAGGCACAGTTTGCAAAGCTGAGGGTCTTTGTCTACGCAGTGTGGGGTGGAATGGGCAGTGGGCTAAGGCTGGGGGACCCGAGTTGGAAACCTGACTCGCCCACTCGTGGGTGTGAAGCCGCTGCTTTCCTTCCAACAGAGGGGCCCAGACCCAGGGCCTCCAGCTGTCTGTGCGCAGGCATAGGGGCCTACCCTGTAGGGGCCCCTCACTCAGGAACGCAGCTGAGGCTGTCCAGGGTCAACGGGCCTTTGACAGGCTCACAGAGGGCGCTCCTCCTCCCTTCCCACCCTCCAGCTGGGCTCTTCCCACTTCAATCAGGCAAACACAGTGGGTACCCCTGGACCGCAAACAGCATTTCCAGCTCAAAACCTTCGAAGTGAGTCGACTATGGTCTCTTCTGCCTGATACGCCACATGGCTAAGCTGCAGGTACCATCCACTTTTCTGGACATATTCTCGAAGATTCCCTTGCAGATCACATTCTGCCAAGTCTCACTGCCCGTTTGTGCTCAGAGGCCCTGGTCGAGGCGGCTGGTCTGCTGCTGGTGCACAAAGCCAGTCCCTAGAGGGCCAGGCAGGCACCCCCTGCCCCCACATGCCCTTGGACATGACGAGTCTCTGGGGAGATTGTTTTTGCTCAATGCCTGGCTGGGGGTTTCTTTTCCTGACCGAGTCATCTTCTGAGTGTTCTCTGCTTCCTTTCCAGCTCACTCATATGCAGTGACCAGCTAATCACTCGTGTGTTCTCCTAGAATTCATAGGTGCCTCGACTTCCAGTCCTCGTCCCCAGAGGGCCAGGCTGTCCCCTCTCCCGAGACACCTCACCTGCAATGGCCCACTGCGGGCTGCAGAGATTGTCCTCGGGAGTCACGGCCGGGCACCCTCAGGGGAAGCGAGGCGGGGCCGCGGCTCACCTTGAGTGTCTTGTCCTGGCTCTTGGCAGACTCCATGAGCAGATAGGCGCCCTTGCTGTCGCACAGGCGGTCAGCGGAGCCCTGGAGCAGCAGGAGGGGCAGGGTGAGCCTGGGCAGGGCCCGCTCCACCCGAGAGACCGCGTTGAGGAGCTGGATGCCAAAGCACACTTTAAGCCCCGCCCGGCAGATGAGGGGGTCTGAGTTGTAATTGTCCACCTGGAAGGGAAGAGAGAGAGGGGGATCACCAGCTCCGGGGTGCGGGGCTCGCCTTCCAAGGCGGATACCGATTCCTGCCTGGTCCCCCTGGGCTTTGCCTGACGGGCTGTTAGCGCAGGGTGGAGCCCGGTGGGGCACTGTGCTGGGTGCCCGTCCGCCAGGCTCTGTTCTGTGCGGCCCACCCTCAAGGCGTGACTGCAGACCGTTTCCAGTAAGGAGCCGTGGCTTTGAAAATACACGCAGCACCACAGCGTGTGCTCGGACTGCCCCACCCCGGAGCGCAGAGAGCTTCACCGCTGGCCTGAAGCTTCTGCCGTCTGTCTCCCTGACCTGGCGCCCACTCGTTGGAGCCGGTGACGGGCACACAGGCTGCAGAGGAGAGCAGGGCCCCTGCTGGGGGCGTGGGGCGGTGCGCGTCCCCGGAGCGCCTTGACGCCGCAGTGGCTTCAGGAGGGGCAGGGCTCAGCACTCGGGCAGGCGGCCCTGTGCCCTCTGGGTGGCCTGCTGCCATGTGCACCCAGGCTGTGCTGCCCTGCACGGGATGCCCAGGCGCTGGGCGCCCCCCTCCCCACCGTCGGCCGCCAGGACCTGACTGCACCCCCTCTGAGTGTGGCCCAGAATCTGGCCAGCGTTGTGGGGCTGTCCTGGCACCCTGACCCTGCTCTCCTTCTGGCTTTACTTCGCCCACCTTCAAGGGGAAGTGAGGTGCCAGTTCACTGTGACCCAAGACGGGGCATCCGCCACCAGAATCTGGGTGGGAAGTTTCTAGAACCGTCTCAAGCCCGCATGGGCAGGTCTGAGGCCATGCCACCCCTGCACTCACTTTCCTCATCCTTGCCTAAGGGCTGCTGGCTGGCTGGAGGGGTGACATGTGGCGCTGGGTCCGGGGAGGGAGCACAGGGGCGCCTCACTAAGGGCAGGGGGTGTCCCCTGTGTTCTCCTTGCATCCTCTGGGTGGGGTGGGGTGGGGGGGTCGCATCACCCCGCTGTTGCCACTGCTAACAGGACCTTGGCCAGGATTCTGGGCTCACTCTAGACTCACAGGCTGTCACCCCTGCATCTCCGATTCCTCCGTGCTGGGCACCGAGCTTGGCAGGCCAGGCCATTTGTGAAAAGCCGCACGAGGCGGGTCAGCGGCATCCCGCAGCTGGGCCGGCAGGGTCCTGCAGGGCCTGGCCACCTGTCTGGGGTCCGCGCCACACAGGGCTGGCGTGGCAGGGCAGGGCCCCAGCAGGACGTGGTGGGTCCTGCTAGGAGTCCCCGCTGGAAAGAAAGCTGTGTGGGGCCACGAGTGAGCCCTGGGATGGGAATACACGGAGCACCGACGCCAGTCGTGAGAGCAGTGGCCAGTGCGGACCGGGGAGGCCTCGTTCAGTAAAAAGTATCCGGGGCCCTCCCTGGCGGCGCAGTGGGTTAAAGCACAGCACTGAGAAACTAAAAAGCCGCTTCTGCATGAGTTCGATTCCCGCCTGCCCCGGAGGTGACCATAGGGCGCGGCAGACCTCTCCTGACCCGCCCGCTGCTCCCCTCAGCTGTGTGCTTTGTAGATCTGCCTGTTCTGCTCCCCACTCTGTCTCTGGTGAAGCCTCTCGCCGCCCCTGAGCCTGTGGCCTGTACCCCAGGTCTGTATGCACAAATAAATAAATATTTAAAAAAAAAAAAGTATCTGAGTAACGAATCTTGGGAACTCTTTGCACAGGCAATACTAGGGCTCAGCCCCTCGCCCTTCATAAGCACCCTCTAGGGGCAGGGCTCTCCTTTTTACAGAGGGGGGCCTACTGGCTAGCTAGTAACTACCCCAACTCCTGTTCTCCCCCAGAGAACCCTGAAGTCAGATGAAGACTGCACTTCCCAGCCTCCCTTGCGCCAGCGTGGCTTCATGACCACCTTCGGGCCACCAGGAACTGAGCGCCACTGCCCCAGGTCAAGGTTGATCCGCCCTTGGCGCCCCCTTCCTGTCAGAACTTGGGAGCTAGGGAGACAGTGGGGCCACAGGGGGGTGCCCCCGGGAGTGGCCCCAGCAGGTGCGTCCTCCACACTGAGAAGGCATCATCAGGAAAGATACGTTTCTCATCGAAGCAGCTTGTTGCCGGCCTGGGTTCAGAGGCTGATGGGACCCCACTGCTTACGGGGCCCAGTGCCAGAGCCCAGGAGCCCACCTCCTTCCCAGAGTGGCAGACCTCTCTCCCTGCGGACCCTGAGCATCCCAGACACGAGTGGCCCCTCGGGAGTCTTGCCGGTTTTAAATCCTGTGGCGGCCAAGTGGCTTCCTGCTCTTGGCCTCTTTGTCAAGGTCTTGATCACGTAGGTCCTGTTTACACAAGGCCTGTTCTGGGCGGGGGGGCTGGGGGGTGCGACCAGGACTGCCAGATGTGTGGGAGAAAGGGCAGGCCCCTCGTTTAAGCCACAGTGGGAAGCGAGGGACAAAGAGAAATGGCCCCCGGGGGACAGGAGAGCCACATGCAGAAGCTGAGGTTCAGAGGGCCCAAACCCGCCCCTCAAGTAACCACTCTGGCCCAGTCACAGTGAGCTCTGCTTTCTGAGCGCTGGAGACCTCAAGCCACAAAGTCCTCCTTGCGGGAGGGCTGGGCTGAGACCCCGGCATCGGGCAAAGAGCTCCCTCCCTTGCAGACCACGCTGGGGCCCTTCAACACCTAAGGGCATTAGGACAGTCCGAGAGTGGACACTCACGTCGATGGCGCCCTTGAGTGGCGCCATCAGAGGGGAGGAGGGCAGGTCAGTGGCTGTCAGGAGGGAGAGGACAGTGGGCGGGGTCTTCGTGGTGGAGGACTGTTCTGGGTCCTGACTGACGGAGTCAGAGTCCTGGCTGGCTGTGGTAGGCCCCAGTGTTTTGTTATCACCCCGGGGGAGCGGGGTGGAGGCTATATGGGGCCCTACGCTATTTCTCTCAACTGAAGTGAAGCACAATCATCTCCAACTGGGTTTTAAGCTTTACAATCTGCGGAGAGTCTCAGGGCCTCCGTGTGCTTCAGTGACCCTCTGAGCCTGTGCTGTTTCGGGGCGGTGCTGAGGCTCTCAGCAAGGCTGAACGTGACAGCCAGGAACTTGCCCACTGGGCCTTCTGCCTCTGGAACGTGGTGTCTCTGTGGGAGACACTTTGCCCTGAAGCACGGTCAATATCGTTGCAATTCACAGCTGGGAGTTTCTTCAGCTTTTGGTTGAGCAAAACCTAGGCACCACTCCTAAGTCAAATGTCTAAATCTATTTTTAAAAAATTGGAGTAAAAGTACATTTTTTAATTAGTGCCGTATTAACAGTAACTAACACAGCAGACTTGTCACTCTGTGCCGCCTCAAGCATTTTACTGGGACTTGTTGCTCACAGGAGCCCTGTGTAGGGACCATCCTTTTTACCACCCTTTTAGACTTGAGGCCAAGGCTCACAGAGGCTCGGTTAACTCCCCCAAAATTACACAGCAAGTGAAGGGCAAAGCCAGAAGATTACTCCGGCAGTCCGGCAACCCCGCCAGCAATGTGATGACTCACGGTTCTGCCGCCTGTCTAGAGAAAGTCAAGGTGAATCCCCCCAGGAGCCAGGGAGGTGCTGCTCCTCGGAGAAACAGCAGTGGGTCCCTGATGAGAACCATAAACACCCGGACCTGACAGCAGGCGACGTGACTTGGTGGGTCCCAAGGTGGCCCAGGGGGTGGGGGTGCCTTTCTGAGCACAGGCAGGCTCGTGTCCCCCGAGCCCCCCGTGATGTCGCATAGTGCTGATGTCACCCCTCGGGCCCTCAGGAAGGCCTCCCGGTCCCCGGACTCCGTGCCTCTCTCCTCCCTACTATGGTGCCAGCCCCTCGGGCAGGACTGTTTGTGCTGGTTGTGCACAGGGGCCTTGGTTGAAGCCACAAGCTAACCTTTCTCTTACAGCCCAAGAAACAGCACTTCTGGACACCGAGCCCGGTGTGGACCAGAACGGTGCACCGGGCTGGCTGGCCAACAGGGCAAGGCGCTGCTCACAAAGGGAACAACACCCAGGGCCTCAGAACAAAAGGTCCCTCACTGCCTCTCCAGAAGAGTGACGGGCACGACTGCGGAAACGCCCAGAGGTCAGCTCCTTGAAGTTGCTGGGTGGAGCTTTCCTCAGGGCTCTGGGGCTGAGTGCTCGTGAATGCCAAGCTCACGGACTATTCCAAAAGCAAGTAAGAGCTGATCATAGAAAGCAGCCTGAATACAGCACGCACTGCGCAGGCAAACAGCCCGTGGCCCGTGCGTGCTCTCACCAACCCCCCGCCTTGGGCCCCACCATCCCCCTACAGCTGCTTTCAGCACCCAACTGCCTGCACTCGGCACCCAGGTTCTGCCAAACGCCCTGCCCCTAAGAACTCTGCCATGCTTCCCCGACCCACCCCCACACGGGCCAGGTTCATGGCTTTTGAGGCCACATGTGATGGACCCCAACTGCCTGCCGCCTCCTCCCCTCTTTGCACCCCTGGGCACTGGCATGGCTGTCCTCTCTCCCTTTAGAGCCCTTTCTTGGATGCCTGTAGAGTCTTTTACTGGACACTCAGCTCAACTGCCCCTTCCTCCCAGGGGCCCTCCGGCCTGCCCCTGGGCTCCCCCGCACGCTGCCGCTCCCACCTGTGCCCACTGAGCAGGGCTGGCCCTGGCCTCTCTAGCTCCGAGAAGGCCCGCTGCCCACACCTTTTCTCTCGTCAGCCCGCAAGCCTGTCCCCCCTTACAATCCAGTCCTGGTGTTTTCCCCGCGGATGGTGCCCTGGCGGTGCTGTGGCAACTGGCGTCTCTCTCCCCAGATCTCCAGTATTTTCAACAAAACCTCTCTAAAAACAGCTGTAATAACAACAGCCCCCCCCCACGGCCCCCCAGGCCTCTGTGAGGCTCTCGAGGGACCCCAGGGCACCGACACGAGTGTGGTTTCTGAGGTCACCGGCGGCACCAGGCGCCGGAGCTGGGGCGCCTATCTGGGCTTGGGCGCGGTGCAGGGAGCGGAGCCCTCTTCCCGCTGGGCCTCGGCCGCGTG